TTTATTTTATCATGAACTTCGAAATCGACTTGCATATCCCCCCCCCTATTTTGATGAATGGTTTAGCCCTAATTAAACATAAATATGATTTTGCAGAGGGTGAGAGACGTTGGCAATGAAAGATTTGACAGTTTCTCATTTTTCATGCTTACCTGATTTTCAAATGTACCTTCCACATTAATATTCATTGTGTCCACGACAACCTCTCCATCATTACGAACATAGTAAACGACAACTTTGGCGGTAGGAGCCATTTCATGAGTGGCAGTCAAATGGAAATCCATTGTTGACGCGCCAGCTGCATTGACAGTACCTGTTGTGACAATGGTACCACGCGACTTGACCTGTAATAAACAATTATCAGTCTAATGAATAATTATTCAAGGGCAAATAAATCTGGGGTCTACAAGTTTCAGTGTGGGGATATATAGTAAGCTCTAGCTTAAGAACAAATCTTATGTGACATTACATAGGTTGGTTCTACTAAAAATAACAATTTACTGAAATCATACTTGACACTATCGAGGTTACAACATTTACACAATATATTCAAATACAGTAACTTTACCTCAAAGACAAAGTTATAAATGGATTCTGTTGCTCGAACGGTAAATGCGACATTATCACCAGCTGACAGACTGTCAGTTGCTGTCGTCAGTTGCAAGTAATTACTGCTTGGCGACAAGGCTTTTTCTGCATATATATTTGATCTCTGCCATTCATCAGTATTGTCATAGTACCATGCCTAGTAACAAAAACAAAACAAAAAAAAATACTATACACATAACCCTTTGAGCTCCTAATTTTTTTTCGCTTAGATTCATGTAAATTTGTTCACTTTTTTAGTAATTTTCACAGAAATCTATCTTAAATTTGGCCCAAACTGATAAAATGCTTTACATTGCTTTTAGTTTTGGATAACAAATTTTGAAATTTTCGCAACAGCACCTGGCTTTTAACAGACATAATTTGTCAAGACGACAGAGGATAATGGGCGACTGAGGACATTGTAAAAAATGCAGACCCAATACAAGAGAAGTCAATCACTGGACAATGAAGTACTTTGAGACTTGTCACGAGTGTGATGACATGGAAATAAATATTTCATGACTAAAATGAGCACGCACAAGCACTCACAAAATGGTAATTATTCTGTCTGCACGACCAATAAGAAATCAATATTTGTGACTGTTAAACAAGTCGTCCATATGCATAGTTAGTAATACTTACTGAAACTGAAATAGACTGTGTACGAGGAGGAACATCAGGAATGGTAATTGTGACGAGACCAGTGTCAGGAACACTCAATTCAAGTTCGTTAGCGGAATTACTATCATACTTAGTAGATACTTGCACCTGTCGACTATCAGACGCTCTTAATGGGGTACCATCTTGTAACGTGACAGACACCTATGGAGAAATACATTAGGGATGGAGACCACAATTTTGATTCAATCAAAAAAATGAAAAAAAAAAAACGTAATGTCCACAGCTTAGAACTCATTGTCCAATGACACACTTACAAACAAACGAGAGTTAACCAACTGAGTATAACAACTCTATGCACTGTTTTCAATAACTTGTATATCTTCTATGTCCAGTTTTACAAGAAAAATCACAAACTTACCAATTCTGATTTTCATCTTACATGTATATACTTTACCTGTGATTTAGAAATGATTCACTTTTCGTAAAAAAACGCAAATTTGTATAAACACTTACAAAGGCATTAAATGTTAGTCCGGGTTTAAAATTGTCAGGAGTCATCTCCAGGAATTCCACTTTAACTGGCTTATTATGACAGGTTACAGTTGTTGTCGTCTCCTGGCTTAGACCAGTTAATGTTTCCGTTACCACGGCAGTGACAGATAGTTCAGATGCATCAGGATAAATGCCATTGTTCAGGGATTCCAAATCAGACTTTTTAATCTCAAAATCAGCGCTGCCATCCAGCTGTATTAGAAATTAGAAATTATTATAACCCAAGCATGTGACAGATAGTTGCAGCATCCACATGACTCCCCAGTCTAAGCAGAGGACAGTAGAGCTTTGTAACACAAAAGTTTACAATCAATGCTTAAAGCGAGAGGGTCGTCACATGTGCATGTGCGGGAATCGAGTCCCAAGCGACGATAACAACACACGCTAAAAACGCAAAGGCTCATGGGTAGACGCTTGTTTTTAAACAGTGACACGCTATGGCCATTTGAAGCATGGGCAGGTGACGACTCCCCCGCTTTAATCAAATGGGAATAATCTCAGTGTAAATCTGGAATTTGAATTGAATTTCAGGAAAGTCACATGAAAAAATAATATGCAGTGTACACACATGTTAAATGATTATACCTTCATATACAAATTTTCCAATTAGCAAAAAATTGTCTCTCAGAAAATTAAATTGATTCACAATATTTTTAAAAAGTACGACAGTTTTAACAACATCGTTACCGTGGAAATGGTAATTTCTTTACTCCTTCCATTATTATATGATTCCTGCATGAAACCTCCATACAAGTCAACCAAAGACAGAGTGATTAGGACAGAGCCTTTAACTGGTTTTCCATACGTGTATCTGAAATATAATACACAATTTAATCATACAAAGACACATAGGACAAGAATGAGACTTATAGACGTATGATTATAGTCCATTATAATCCTGACTGGCATGTGTAAATACAAGTTGTTCCCACCATAAAATACATGCCATCTTGAATTCATAAATAATAAATTCTGTGTATTTTTGTCTTGTGACCCGGGAATGGTGATGATCTGAATCAGATAACTAAAAAAATATTTGTGTCTTGCCCAATGAAAAATGGTTGACACTTTTGCAGCTATTATTGGATAAATTTACATTTATTCATCAAAATCTTTCCTTGCAACTTTTGAAAAAAAAATTTTTTGAGGGAAAATTGCTGATGGCGGTTGTTGTGGCTTTCCTAACAATCATTAGAAAGTAACAACTTCAGTTGAAATGAAAAACCCAGTGTGCTGTCTAACGGGACTGATTTTGTAAGGATCCTTAGTCAAAATGGAACTCCCTAAAATCAAGATGACTGAGTTCGTTAATTGACTGCTAGAGAGAACGGACTTCAAGAAAAAAATAAAATTGTATGTGACTATATACCGGTAGATGACTTGAGACAGGAATAAAAATCTTGCGGCTCCCGATTTTCTACATTCTTACACTTATTTTGTATATAAAATGTGAATTTCATTTTACTAAATTACAAATTCCACAAAAATAATAAAATGTTTTCAAACTCACTATAACAATTTACAATTTTTTTTTTGCGTCAATGATGCGCCGAATTAGTACAAATACATATAGTTGCATCACAGCAACTGTTTACGCGACAGTTAGGCGTCATATCAGCTTAGAGGGCACACTGGAAGAAACCATACAAAAAAGATCATAAACAGCAATTTTTCTTCACATCATCATAGTTACTATAGTTACTATGGAAATCAAAGTACCAAGTGTCACATCACCAACAATGTTTGTAGGAATATTGCAATGGAAACCAAAAATCAGCAGTTTTAGTTCTAGTAGGCCCAATGTAGAGAAAAGTTTTTTTGCTAGTCTTCCAAGTTTGCTACATTTTAAGTCAAAATTAGTGGTTAAGTCACAGAGCTTGGCATAAATAAACAACACAAGCATCAAGAAAAAAAAAAAGTTTTGGTCTAGTAACTTATAATAAGTTATACACATCGCTAACTAAAAGCCCCCGTGGATTGCCAAAATAGAGAAAAATAATGTCAGCAGTCCAAAAAGTTGTTCCTTGATGATTAAAAAAATTCTAGTTTATATTTCACTATTTCACTGGGAAATTAGCAGCCATCACAATTACACAATGAGTAATTAGCTGATGTAACCATGGCAACATAATATTCAGCTATATATTGAAATACTCACTCAGCTTTGACTGTAGCTCCAGCGATGGGGACAGTGGCGTCCAGGAATGATGGCAACGTCAAGCTCACCTCATACTTGGGTAAAACTGCAGAAGCAAAGAGGGATAACAATTCAACCAGGCATTAAAATTAAAAACAATATCAGGATGTCAATTGAGGAAAGTCACCCCACTCTGAAAAACTGGATGTCCACATTAAAATATGGTTGTTACGTTTAACATGAATTTGCATTACCTTTCTCAAATAAACCTAAATAATATTTACCAAACAATAAGTCCAGAAATTGACTATTACTATGACAACAGAATATAACACAGTGATAAGTGAATTTAATTTCACGGTTGTTTCAATGAGCAACTGGGGTTCATATTTGGTTACTCCATGTGGTTGCCCCTGACAACACTATCAATTTCAGCCAGAAATAGACATTTGTTTATTACACTCAGTTGATGTCATTTTTTAAGCATCCTTAGTTTCTAATTTGAAAATGTTGAACAAGTTGAACAATTAAAGACAAAACATACCATATTCGTCGATGACAAACTCCTTTTCTTCAGAAACACCCTAAAAAGAGAAACGGAACAAAACCTTAGATACTAGTACACTGCTATCTTACAACCTACTTTTTACAGGATAATATCATCTGACCATAGGGGGCGCTGTAACCCAAACTAACCAACACATAACAGAAAATATTTTTTTATTTTTTTATATTTTGTTTGAAGAATGCATTACCCACCAGCAACGAGAAGAAGCAAATCTTGTAATAATACATACACTTTCTGTCGCAGTTACATCTATTATCCATGTGCCAAGTACTGGTTCTTTTGACGTAACCATTTCGTTCTGAATCACACCAAATCCATCAGAATCCTCAAGATCCTTCCATTGTTTAATGACGTTACCATTGGGATCCTACGGATGTGAACAAGGTCGGAATTACCCTGTGGCTTCAAGCAAGGATTAGATTGGATCAAAAGGTACATGACTTCTCCGATTCAACAAGGTGGCCAATAATAATGACCATAATTAAGATCCCTGAGACCGCACCATGGAATCTTGGGATACTATTGTTACATTAACAATGTAATTAAAATGATTCAATGTTCCCCTATTAAATGCAATACAGTGATCATATGACAACTGTATTTACAACTTTCCCTTGGTTGTCATGACAACTCAATACAACATACATGTGCATACAGTGAATTTCTGACGTAACACAGTGTACATGACAGAGCCAATTACATGTCGCTATAAGTGGATGAAATTAACACCTACAATTTTGGGTAATTATTCTCTTTAAATATTAAAATTTGAAAAAAATGTGTGGATACTGGATTTTGAATGTTTGGGTTCAATTCTCAATTTAAAACGGTTGCCAGGGTCGGGGCTTCAATGCAATAGGAAATTTACAAAGTCATTGTTTAAATAGCAACATCTTTTCAACAAAAATATCAATAATTTGAAGTGCTGCGAAACTGTTTGCATTGTTTAAATAGCAAATAATTAATAAATAAACGCTGCTCGGACTGATAAATATGATATATACATTGTAGTAGATATGGCTCTTTATCGATAGCATAGAAATAAATGTTTAAACGTATAGGTAAAACATAAGAACGTAAATAGCAACATCTTTTCAACAAAAATATCAATAATTTGAAGAGCTGTAAAACTGCATGTTTACAAGATGGTATGGAAAATGAAAAGACAAAATTCTGATATTTTGCGGAGATAACAAAAGAAAATACTAATTTCAAAGCTTGTTTCCATGGATACTGTAATTTGGTGAATACTCCATATTGTTTACTTTGGTAGCCATGGAGATTGAAAAATTGGTCCAAATTGCTATTAAAATATAAGGTATCCCAAGTTGTTTATGTCAAACAGTCATACACATCAAAAGTGAGATATAGATACCAATGGTTCTGAGAATGTCAAAAATAATAAATATAAGACAGACAAACAAATGTACAACTATAGAGGAAACACAGGTTATTAAGTTACATACTACCCAGTAGTAAAATTATAGGTTATCAATACCACTTCCACAGTCTGATTTTATCATACCAAATTTTTAAAGTTTTATCAACATTTTGATTTTCAAAAAAAAGTCTATCTTTAATAGTCAAAATTGTTAAACATTAGTAAAAATATCAGTCAAAGCAATCCTACCTTTATCTGTACATCAAATGTTCCAGTATATGTATTCAAACCAGACGGAGAAATAGCCAAGGCACGAAATTTCACTGTGGATAAAAAGATTTAAAAAAATTTACTCAATGTGCAGCAATTCATTAAAATAAATAATTGATTTAATTTGGTTGTTTGTTTATGTACTCTGTTTTGAACTCAAAAATTAAAACCTGATAGATATAAAACTATAGAGTGATTTTTCATAACTATTTTTTTTTTTAAATGTTTTAGTATCTATTACAATTTGGTGTGCATTTGTTAAGTAGTAACATTTTTTAGAATGCAGAAATTTATCAAACATCATGCACTGACTGAGATATACTTCATTTATACCATGATATCTCTGACACAAGTGAAACAAATCTGGTAAGTTTCCTCTGCGTAGTACTGATTCGATCTTTATTTTTTGCTTTCTGAATTAGAATAAACATATACACTAATTTGCATATTGATTGAGGGATAGCAGGGCTACATTGATTTGGTAATTTAAATGGTCATTTTCTGTGATGAATATTTTGATGTAAAAAACAAAACAAAGATTTAGAAAGTGTGATTTAATAGTTAATTGAAATTAATGTGAATATGCAAACTTAGTCTGAAATTTATTCTGATAATTTAATGGAATAATTAGAAATAGCTATGGATTTTTTACTGCTTATCCGGTCAAGTCAAAGTAAAAACAGCTGGGGCTGGCTGGATAATGGATAAAGTATGAAATGTCCATTTTAATTAACAGTTCCTAAAAAGAGTCAACCGCATTAACGTAACAATAAAATACATGACGCAGTGCTGTTTTTTCTGTTTTCAAACCATATGCTCAGTGTTCATTCTCAGATTTTACATTTCCAGTGCGACGGTGCAATTACCACCCCAGTCGCGACGCTAACAACAAGGTCAGTGATCAAAGATGGCACCGAAGCCCTGAGGTGTGTTTAACAAAACATTTTAATTCAATAAAATAAGTATGTAGCTGTTCTAAAAACTGGGCAAAAGTTTTGAATGCCTTTGAGTTTTTATTTATCTTCAGACGTTGATTCAGAAGACAAAACATTTTGTCAAAAACAATGCTATTTTAATCTTTCCTTTAGGTGATGACGAGAATAATCTTACAAGATCTGCGCCTTTGGGTATACATATAGTTATGTTCATGGGAAAATGCCAGGAACATTAGACAGATTAATTTGTTGCACATACAGGTAGCTAAAAGCTAGTATTTCATGGTATCAGTAGGTGATATTTCTTTAAGTTGGAACTTGTTTTTATGGATTTTTTCGTATCTGGTCTATTAGGTACAGTACAAGCACTTACATAAATAACAGACGTATTATTTACGCACACTGCACATATTTACATGAGGAGTGTTTGATTCATACGTACAAAATGGTTCTAATTTGAGTGTTGCCTGTTTATTTAAAAAAAAATAATTCTCGTATATTTTTTAAATTTTTATCAAAATATGTGCGCATTGTAAGGTTCTGTCTGTTTGGTCAAAAAATAACATAATATTGATAAAATCTGATTTTTTACAAGAAATTAGGGTTAAGCTAAACATTTTTTTTTCATTTGTTTATCAACTTGAAACAGATACAACATCTGATCTTGCACCATTATTTATCAACAGGTTGATTTTTCACAGAATATATATATTTTCAGTGAACATCGATAATAATCAGCTATGGATATAAAGAGTTGAAAAGTTTAACATGATGTTGTTCGTGCAAATCGAAATAAATTAAAGCTCCTAGCAAACTGAAACTGGGATTGTATGAACGCTATACAAATTGCAGACAGTTGAGTTCATAGCTCGACCTTAAGTACGATAACCGACATATGACAGAAGAGAACAATTATGTTGTCATGGTGAAATACACCAACAAAACTTCACCCTTGCCTCAGGCACAATAGGTTTTCAGATCTATGACATTTAAGGCAATCTATTTATTTTTCACCTTTGAATTGAACGTCAACTGAACACAATGAAGCAGCCTATTGACTGTTTTTACATGTTGTGTGCTGGCTAAAATCAAAACAATTTTTTTTATTTTTTCCAATGGTGCCATCTTTATTTTATGCTGTTGCTCAGGGCATCCAGATAAAAAGTATGGTCACCAGACTAGTTTCTGCACAAAAAATGGGTTGAACACCCAGGAAAATGTCCATTTTTATTTTACCATTGGTTCCTATAATAAATAAGTATCATCATTAAATTTTGTTCACGTACAAAAGAAGAAAAAACCTTGAAGTATAGTATAGAGATTTTATGAAATACATGACATGTAATGCTTTAACATGTAAAAAATTATAAAATGACAATTTTTGCAAATTTTCAGACAGTTTTTCGCCAAAAATATATTTCATAATGGGTGGTATACACTTGCTAACACCAAGAAGACATGCACAAGAAACAGTACTGTGTCAAATAATACTTTTTCACACTTTCTTAAATGTTTCCACACTAATGTATACACGACCATTGCAGAAAATAGAACGTTAAATAGTTACTCAAGTTGGTATAACCTCCAAAAACGTTAAACATGAAGACGACAAAAACGGATATTTTACTCTTGAAGATTGTTTGCCTACCCGTTTGTCCTGGCTTGTAGATCCCTTTATCAGTCTGAATAAGAACTGACATACTCTTTAAATCCACAGTCACCTGTGTCTCATTAAAAAATGAGAGACCTCCTCCAGATCCAGAAATATAGAGATTCATCGGGCCTTGGCTCGGGTTATATTCATAGTCGGCAGGAAGCTACAAATAGAAAAATAACAAAATTTGTAAAAAATTTACTTCACTAATTATTGATTTAGATATTTCTGTTTCAAAAAATGATATTGTTCCACACAAACATATTTTTTCAACCTGTGCACATGCAGGAGTTCTACATAACCATAACACCACATTCTAAAAATGCAGAGACTCATGGGTAGACATTTATTTGTAAACAGCAATATGCTATGCCTGTCTGCACGCGTGTAGCCGACAACTCGCCGGCTTTAAAACAAGTAACTGATATTATATTTTAATGTCACAGTATTTTTAAACTTTGTGTATAACCGTGCATGGTGTATGGTTGGTAAATAGCATACAGTTTATTAACTTACACTTAGTTCCAGCTCTTCAGGTATTCCTTCCATGCAAGATGCTGTAGTTGTATCAACAGGATTATTTTGGTCAGTACCGAGAGATGCTGTTACTGCTACCGTACCAGTACTCTCTAGGATATGAGCGCTAATAGTTATCGGAACTCCCGGTCGTACTTTTTTAGGACATAACACAACGTACGAGCTGAAACAAAAAGACACAAAATGTCAACATCACAATAAGCAACCTAACAGTCAAAATAGCTCTGCTGTTTTTGTAGAGCGTCCTCCTTGAAACAAAGTTGATAATGTTATGCCATATTTATTAGTGTTCCCGCAATGTTGCAATAGCACAAC